ATATATATATATATATAGACTTACAGAAAGAGTTGTGCCATTGAGGTTTCCTTCATTATATATCATGCCTCGGTGTTGAATCGCCTTGATTCGACGCGCTGAGGTGTCAACGTGGAGGCCTTGAAGGACAAGGCCGCGCTCAGCGCTCTCATAGGGGACAGGGCGAAGAAGTTATGGTCCGACATCTCTGCAGCTTGCAAGCAGAAAGACTGAAGTCCGTGGATGGGCAGGTGCGCAACGTCGTTTCCGACATCGTAGGCATGGACAACCTGGTAGATGCCGCATACCCAGAGGGCCAAATCGGCCTTAGTCTTGACCATCCTCGGTTGTGAGATCCCATGCGCACACACAACAAAAACAACCTCCATCATCTCCAAGTGTGGCAGATCTTGAGGACACCCCCTTGATGCAAGCAGGGCTTACGAGCCAGTCTGCTGCCCTGCGCTCAGTGATGGAACCCATGGCGGTCCTTGTCCATGCAAAGCGTCGTTGCCACGAGGAAGCTAGGCTTCAGGCGGCGCTTTCTGCGCATTGATGCACAGCGCTAGTGGAACAGAGAGGAAAGTTGCTGCATGAAATCACTATATATGACATGTGAGGTCGTGTTCGTTGTAGATTGTTGCAGTTCAAGTTCCGCTGTGAAGTGCAAAGACCATCCTTTGCGCTCGAGGGTCATTCTCTTTCTATGCAGCTTTGACTTCCGGCCGTGTCGAATTTGTGCATGCGACACCCTGGCACGTCGTGTCTGTTATCTTTAGTCGAGGTGTTGCTGCGCAACGCGCTGAGCAAGGAGATTCCTGGCCCCAGCCAGGGGCCTAACTGGAGTGTTGTCGATGCTACTTCCTGGATTCGGGCAGCACGTAGCTTACCGCAGGCAGCCTCAAGTTGCAAACAGCCGTTGCTAGTGTTGGTGCCGGTGGTGCTCGTGTTGCTGTGCATGGCAATAAGGTACTGTTTCGCCTGTTGCTCCTGTGTCTCGTTGTTTGAAATCCAGTTCCATCAAGGGCCGGACAAGATGAAGACCAACCGACTCTTCCTTCTGCTTCGTACGTGGCAACAGTTTTGTCGTGATCGCTGGTTAACAGATAGCTTTTTGATGCTGCCCCTCGTCACTTTGCAGTTCTGCCCCGACAGACTCTTCCGCTTTCCCATTTGTCCGGCTGCCCATGGCAGGCCTTCCCTTCACGCTGATGTTCGACTACCCGTCGTACATTGGCAGCATTCATCACGCTGCAGCTTCATGCAAACATGTAGCAGCTGCTACGAAAGGCATCGCAAGGCTCTGCATGCAGACTCTGCAACTGTCACCATTCTGAAAAAGGCTGCCAGGCGTTCTAGCAGCAAGTGGTACTGCTGCTTTATGCTCGAGCTGGACAAATCTGATAAAATGTGCCAAGCGTGGTCTGCAATAAGATTCCGACGGCGAAGACAAAGTCCAGTTTCGCTACATTGCCGACGATATGTCCCAAACAGTTGCCTGTGTCTTCCGAGGATTGCAGACTTGTCTCAGTTCCTTGCGGGCTCGGCGGGTGCAGAAGAAGAGGAGGCCAGCTTGAGTTCAGCGGTTGCACTTAGACAGAGACTGAAACTTGCTGCAGCAGAAACCCGTGAACCCCCACAAGATCCGGCAACAGCCATATCTGCATCTGTTGAGCTCTTACCACCAGATTCATCTTTAAAGTTCCAGAAGAACCCCCACAGTGCGGATACGAGACTCTAGTGACATGCTTGTCGAGAACACCTGGATTATCAAGTCGATGCGTATCGATTCCGGTTTGATCCAAGACCGATCCATGACTATGCTTTCAAGACCCGTTGGAGCCTATACCAATGCATTAAATATAAAATTATATATATATATATATATGTGTGTGTGTGTATTTTTCTGAATGAGATCAAAATCGAAAGATTCGTTTTAGATCTTCTGACAGTTTGAAGTTCAACAATATTGAAATCTAGTTCAGGCTTTGGAGATACCCTGCGAGAAGGATATTCAGCGTAGGGTTTCTTCGAGATGTTTGTCCCCTTCGAAATCCCAAACTTCTGCAGCAAGCCTCAAAGCAGTAAGCTCGAGCAGTCGACTTTGCGTAGTAAGCAAGGGGTGTGGTCGGACGTGGAATACGATAAGGAGGCGCAGAGCAAGCAGCCATTATCTGCAAGGACAAGGGGCCGGCATCCGGATCTTCGATAGGATTTGTAGAGGGTTGCTAGGGCATCTCTGCCCCTGCCGTCACAAAGAGGCCAAGCTCCTTGAGCGAATTTCTGAAAGCCTTAGTCCTCGTGGGCCTGAGGTGTTGTCGCCCGAACTTATCACGACGCCCCAGAAGTTATGACAGAAGGTGATGGCCGTCCCCTGCAGTTTCTTGATATGCCAAGCTGTGAAGGTGGAGGAGTGGATCGAAGTCGCGGAAGGGGTGGGCCAGGCAAGAGCCGTGCCCTATAGCCATGACATGCCACTACGCAGCGTGTGCGCGCATGTGTGTGTGTGTGTGAGTGTGTGAGTGTGAGTGTGAGTGTGAGTGTGAGTGTGAGTGTGAGTGTGAGTGTGAGTGTGTGTGTGTGTGTGTGCGTGCGTGTGCGTGCGTGTGGACTAGTACTTAAAATAGACAAATAGCATATGCCGCGCTCACGTTATGATACGTTATGACACATGGTGCCTTTGCACTTCCCGTGACGTGTCAGGTTGCATCAAGCGGAACTATATAGTGCCTCAAGTGAACAGATGGAACTGGCGGACAGTCACGCACGCACACACACACACACACTCGCACACCGACGGAGACGTGCAAGCATGAACACATGCACTCATAGATACGCAAAAACGATACAAGCGAGCGTGCGCACATGTGTACGACATGACTATAGTTATACACACGTAGTGTCAAACTTTCCTGCACCATACTTATTTGTGCAGTGAAACATGCATGAAGGCGCACACCCCGACCCACGTTATGCATGTTGACCTATCTTGACCATCTTCTGTTTGCATGCATGATCGGTTCGGCTCCGGCTGAATCTAAGAAAAGCAGGCTCGGCCGGGCGCTGGCACCACAGGTGGGTTTGGGCATATGGGAACCATGGCACAGGTGTCCTTTGTCCTTTGAGGGGTCTACCCAGGAGCCCAGGAGAACCTTCCCAAGGTGCCCGAAAGACTGGCAGCATTTTGATTCGGCTCCAGCCAGCCTCCAAAACGTGTTCCCAATTGCTTCGTCGATTGATCCAGCGGCCATGCCTGACGCAGCAGTCACTGGGACTCCAGGGACAGCTGGGGATGCTGGGGCAGAGGGCTTTTCGTCTCCGACTCCTTAAGTGGCAGTGTCCGAGGTTGCCGAGCGCATGAACGCCCAGCTCTTCCGGCAGCTTGCCGCCGGCGCTGCTGCGCGTTTGGCCGGGCGTTGTGCCAAGGCCCTGCTCCGCAGCACAAAGAGAGGAAAGTGACAAGGTCAAGGGAGTGCATGGGAATGGCATGGCCTGGCCAGGATCAGACCTCACAGCAGTGGGTGCTGACGACCACAGACGGATGCCCGGCTTCTGAAGCTTCCCGCGTGCAACCTTCAAGCGCAGGAAACGTCAAGATTTCACAACAAGACTCCACGCCTCCAAGCACAATCTTGAAATGCTAGCTGGCCGAGCTTTGCCGGGGTCGGCCTCCGCACTCAAGCAGATTGCTCATCAAGCCTCAAGCTGAGCTTTTCTTTGCATTGGTTACTGTAACCAATGCAACTCGCAAGGGGCCCCGGGTGATGCGAGATCCGATCCTACTAAGGAAACAACGTGCCTTTGACTGCTGATGACGGCGTGGAGCTGCAATCTCAGGAGCCGCTGCATAAGCTTCTGCTACATCATGCCGCATGTAACCGTAGTTGTCTGCTGATAAATATATATATATATATATATGTATGTCTAAGGTCCTCGAAGGCCTGCACACAGTACACAGTCCGGAAAGAATATCAGCAACCCAGAAAACCAGCGAGATCAGAGTGATCGAAGTCTGGAACACATGGCAGCACCTCCTTTTGTTTCTGCTGTTCGGACGTTGGATTCCAGCATGCACTGCTAGACAGCTTCGGGGTCCGACTAGTCGAAGCGGAGAGTGGGAACAATAACCTGACGGGGAGGGGCCCACTGAACATGGCGAACGCCAGAGTCAGCATACCTATTGAAGCCCATAGACAGAGCATCCGAAGGGAGATGATGTAGGAAATCCGACAAACTTTGAAAGGACTTTGTGGAAATCGTGGGCTCCAAGACCTCGGAGGGCCAGCTGCGCGCCACGGTGTTTTCCGGATTCCCGAGTTGGCCTCGCGCGATTGTAAGGTACTTGTGTCTCTGCTTTCTTGCACTCTATTGCATTCTCTGCTTCTCTGTCTCCCCTTCTTTCTGTCTCTCTCTCTCTCTCTACCTCTATCTCCCTCTCTCCCTCTCTATGTATGTACGTATGTGTGGATGGACGTAGGCTTGCATACAAACCTACAAGCATCATACGTACATACATACATACAGACAGACATGCATGCTTTTTCTATGTTAGTCTCGATAGACGACGCTCGCCTGGCAGGATCAGTTCAACCTGCAGCTAGTTAAAGTGGCACAGGGGCACCGATGCAAGAAAGTCTTGGGCTGTTCAGCACTTGCACCGGAAGCCAGCTCCGGATCCAACCTAGCTCAAACCCCCAGAGCAGTGCATTACAGCTGCTTTCCAGGGAACAACATGATTTGAAAGTGCCATGACAGCGTGTGGCGTGTGCATCAACAGGGTCCAGCGGAATCCAAGATTTTCGGGTGCATGTAATCCTTTAAGGTTTCAGAGCTCGACAACGCGACGGCGCCGCAGCAATTCGTGTCTTACAGCTTTGCATACCTGAAGGGAGAACGCTGTGACAAAGTTACAAAGTCCCGCCCAAATCCGCCCAACAAAGGCACGCATAGCCATGCACTGCCACCAGCAGCCAGTAAGCGCTGATGCAAGCGCGACCAATCCGAATAGAAACTGGGATATGCTGCGCCCCTCTGCATGCCCTGTACTATGCATAGAGTCATAGAGCCCACAACCATAAGAACAATTAAAAATCAGACAAGAGATAAAGAGATAGAGCCGGCACCAGAAGGTAAAACCCGTCTTGTGGGACAAGTGAAAAGTCTTAAGCTAAAGACGGAATGCAGCAGTTGAAGTTCTATAGTGCCTTCACAAGCTGCACTGTCGCAGTAACACGAAGTTACTATTCTCGAGCAGGGCTTTTTTGAGGATGCTTTTGCTCCACGATCGCAGTACGATCGCCTCGATGCACCATCCACCCAAAGGCCGTTGCGGCCATCCTCGGGGGTGACCTTGAAGCCTCTTGTTGGGGCGACGATGGACCAGCTGCACAAATCCACATGGCTCCCACTTGGCAGCTATTTGTGGTCGCATCCGGCGAATGCGCATAACGCTCAGCTGCAAGGTCGGGAAGAAGACGGGGTCTGTTTGCCGACCGCAGCCCTAGACCGTGAAGGCCTTGCCCCTGTGCCGCTGGGCGGGAAGTTTGTGTCCTCGTGGATGTGTGGAGGCAATAGTCCGCGTTGTTGCACTCCGTGCTGCCGGTGTCCTCCAACAACCAAACGACGCAGCTGCACCGAAGATGAAGAACCGCAGCACACATGAAGGGCAGGGTGTACAGCACCTGCTCGATGTTGCATTCGCGAGAGATATGCACCATGAGAGTGCCGCCGAAAGCGCTCTTGAAAGCGGCCCAAACAATCGAACAATCCCAGAGGGTCCACCGGTCCAACCAGGAAGGGTTGGCGCCCTGGCCGTCCTTGGGCGCCGATTCCCGGATTCCCGGAGCCAAACGGTCGAACTTCGGTGCCGAAGGCAATGACGAAGAAGTGATTCAACAAGTAACCGACCGTCAGGACGATCACGTTGAGGATGCACCCGGCTCATTCAACACGAACACAACTATCATCAGCATGTTGCCGCATATGAAGGCACTGACCGTTTGTCAAGGACCGTATTGATTAAAAGTCAGGACAGAGAGCGACATACCATGGACCATGATGATGGCAATCACCACCACGGCCATGTTGGTCAGCTCGTCCTCGGTCAAGGTGCCGTCAAAAAGGCGTTTTGCAAACTCCTTTCCCCGCCGGGCCATACAGGGGAGTTTTGGCATCTTGGCAATTTGCTCTAGTGCAGTGTTCGAGCCCTTGTGCCAGACATACATCCTTACATACATACGTACATGCTTACACACGTACATACCCATACGTGCCAGCATACATGATTACTATATAGGTACCTGCGTACATACGTATACGTGCGCATACACACGTACATACCCATACATGCCAACATGCATTGCCTACCTGCGTACATACGTATACGTGCGCTTACACACGTACATACCACATACATGTCTACCTGCATACGTACGTATACGTGCACACATACCGACGTACATACATACTAACATACTGAGCAATACCGTTGCAGAGGTTTGCGCGAAACTATATCTATGGACATTGCAAGGCTTCCAGGTCGCATCACGGAGCCTGAGATTCGTCGCATCTCGTCCCAAGCCCGCCATTCATGAAGTTAGGGTGGCATGGACCAGAAAGCACATGTGGGCCGTTGCGTACCGTGCCACTCCATGCCTTGCGGGTTACTCAAGGCGAGGTGGGAGTCAAAACCTCGGCCAGGCGGAGATGTGGACGCAGAGCTTTGGGAGAAAGCGGTGGCGTTGGCACATCAACCCCAGGCACAGTTGGCCGAAAATAGCACAGCAGGCACGAGGACCTCTGTCATAGCTAGTTCAAGGAAACTTCTACGACCGGCCTGCGAGGTGCGCCACCTCTTCCAGCCGGCATGAGGTCGCGTCGGGGCAAAGCTGGCAATTCTGTGGCCGGGGTTTGGTAGGAGAGCTGGACCCGGCAGCTACGAGCGCCACCAAGCAGCGTGGTGAATCAGAAAGGGGTGCCAGGATGGGTCACCATGTTCGCATCTCGCTATACGACTATACGAGATATTGGGCGTGGTATGGTGTGCTGTTGTTTGAATAGATGTTCTTGGGCCCATCCTGGTGGACGCAGGTAGCTATTTTGATCTGCACGTGCGGTTTCTGATTGCCTGAAGCTTGGAGCTCGCGGGAAGCGTGCGATGTGCGAAAAGACCCGCTGCCACCTCTCAAAGCGAAACACCGGCCAACAACGTTCCGCTGCGTTGAAATCATTCTGCGTGTTCGTGCGAGTGCCCATCCCAAGAGTGAAAAGCCATGTCGGAAAATGTTGAGCACCTACTTAATGTCTGACAGAAGAGTCTCAGTTCGACTACAAATAGTTATAGGTCAACACCCTAGCACAAGCCACCTTCTCACCATCCGCAGGCCCCAGCGCCGAGAAGCTGCGCGAGCAGGCCAGCAAGTGGCGATCGATGATGAATTCTTTCGCCGGATGTCTTGTCCTTGTTCATGCCTATGTCCGTGTAAGCAGGTGTAAGCAGCATGAGAACTTTATAAACTACGACTGCCATTGCCTCGCGCCTCATCGGTCCTCAATACTGTCCAGTCGGCCACATGATGTTGCAAGTCGTGGTAAGCACGTAACCTTCCATTGGCATGATCGTCGGAATAGCTGCCACGAGAGCGTCGTGCTGTATAGGGCCTTGCCAGTACCTCTTCGGTCAGGTGAAGTCAGTGGTTGCTGAGATCGTGGGCATGGAAGACTTGGTAGATGCCAGGTCCCGATTTTGGTATCTCTTGTGCTGCTCTCCCACGGCCGGGGATCCGAAGCAATGGGAGGAGATGTCCCCGACTCTCTCACTAGTAGTGCTAGACATACTAGAAGCTCTCCATTTTCATTGAGACTCAGGACACTCCGCTCATGCAAGCTGGCTTAACAAGCCAATCAGCAGCCGGGGGCTTATGCTTTAGGAAGCTGGGGGTCCACCGGATGCGGTCGTTCCGGGGCTTTTCTGCACTCTGCGGTTTTCAATGCAGGCTGTAGATAAGTTCTGGAGTGCCAAGAGGCATTCCAACGAACTCAAGCGACGCAGGCGCCGCAAGAAGGGAGATGATCGAAGTCCTCAGGTCTTACTTCGCAACGCCCTGAGCAAGGAGATCCCTGGAGCCAGCCGGACCCCTAAAACCGGGCCTCAATACGCCACATAAGCATACTCATCACCAAGGGAACTGACCTAGTTGGGAACAGATCGCGCTGTGCCACCAATGAACTTGCGGAAATCCCTTCGCAGTCATGGCCTCGAACTCCTAATTTTGGGTTCATCAAAGACCACATGAAGATCATTTCAAGTTTGTTGTTGATCAGTTTTGTAGACCACATCATAAGAAAGTCACCTTTCGTAGTCAGCAAGGTCCCGCCGCCCACAAGATCTTCGTGTGGAAATTCCTTCATGTACCGAGTTTGCTTCCTTCTCGGACTATAGAGCTAAGGGTCCCTTTTTTGGGACCTCGTAGAAGCCGAATTTATCAATCAGAGGTGTCCACGTCGATTTGCGAAAAGGCTAGGAGCAGGAATCCAGCAGTTTTCCTTTGGTTGCAGGGTTTTGGTTCAGAGTCGCGGGAGGGCCTTTCCCGCCCACACTGGGACAGCAGTGGGCCCTGGAGGTTCCCTCCTCCAGGGCCGTTTGCAGCCATGGCGCGAAATGAAGAAAAGGCGATGGCGGCCCTGAACCGGTGGACAGCCCAGAAGCGAGATATAGAGATGCAGAAGAACATGGGTGTCTTGGCAATTCCGGCATCCATGCACTTTCACTTTCCCGTAACAGTGAGGTAGTCTAGCATTTCACAGCAGATCACCGCTGAACAAGGGCCCTGAATCAAAGATCCTTCCTACAATCCTCGAAGAATTGAAATTGCGGCTTTTCAGCACAATTGTTTAGACACCTGGCCTCGCGTTCGTTCAATCATTTCCTTTAAGCAGTTAAACCAGAGAGTCATGAACATGGAGTGTAGTTCAAACTGTTTTCGTATAGAATTTCGAAAATTCGAAAGTGCTGGAACAGTTGCTGTTTAAATGCGACCTGTCGCTTAAACAAAACACCCCACCCGAGCCGCGCTGTTCAGCCTGCTGGTATTATTGGATCATTGACCCAAGGCAAGGCAACTTACATGGGCGGAGCCCTGCCCGACACCGCTGCTTACGGGCCTTACAAGCGCGACAAGAGGCCGAAGATTGCCTCGGAGGCCGTGAGAGGGCAGACCAAGCCTTGTGTGGGATTCCGAAACTTTTTCAAGTTCTGACAGCCTTCCATTTCAACACCACGATGCCCAGCCCGCATCCCAAAGGTGAAGACCGTCAAGGAGTGTGAGCACTGGCGACAGGACATCCTCCGTGGCGTGGCGCCCCGCGGCTGTCAGCAAGAGTAGCAACTCCCAGTCGTCTGCATCAGGTCAATACAGTAGGTATCGATCATGCTGCTGACGAGCTGTACTGTAGGTCATGAGAGATGTCGGTTCATCCATTGTTCTCAGAAGCTATGATATCTCGTGCGTCATTGATGTCGCCATGATGCGAGCATTCCCACAGCAGTTGCGTATCACTCTTCGCCAAGGAAGAAGATCGCCGAGATCCAGAACGCAGCATTGGGAGAGCACCGCATCCGCGATCTGAATGACGAGATCAACAAGGCAGCTCCGACCTGGGCGGTCCACTACCACCCGATAACTGCGACAGAAACATACAGAAACTCCAGAGTCAGAGCCATCCAAATACGACACCGTAGGGCAGCAAGGCAAGCTGACTGATTGCAAACCTCCGTCATGCAACAGCAGAGCTGCCCTTGGCTAGGATCTGCGCGAAAAGGGCTACTGGGAGGACCAGATTAAATCACTTGGAGGCCTAGACAATCGAAGCTTGAGTTTGTGCGCGCGTACCTATGCAAGAGAAGTGTCCAGCTCCGAGGATTACGTTACTGGCACAGTTCTGGAAACCAGGTGCCGACTACAAGTCTCAGCCGAAGCGGGACATTGAGACTTACGGCGCGGAGTTAGCTTCACACAGCGGCTACAAGTGCCCTCGCCACGCATGTAAAGTTTTGCTTGGACCACCCGCTCTCGACCATGTCGAGTTGTCTTGGTATGGTGTTCCCAACTCGTCAGGCAAGTCCAGGGCCTCTCTAAAGATCCTAAAGGAAGTACTGCCCGTGACCAGGTACTTCGGTGCTGCGAAAGACCTTCCTGGAGTGAGGGAGCTCTTTGAAACCGAGATCATACCGGATGCCCCGCGCAAAACAAGGACTGGATGGCCTGTGCTGTCAATGCATGATAGCGTGCCTGCGATGTTAGTATGTACTGACCGCTAGGGTTCAGAAAACAGTACGCCGGCAGTATCAGCATCGTATTGGCGGTGCGGTAGACGCAGAAACAGATGCGAAATTCATAGCTTCTGCTGCAGGCTCAGTCATGTTGAAATCCTTGTTGCAGGAAGCAGCTATTTCTGCATATCCAACCGGACTACTATGGCTGGCGGGATGAAGAGGATGGCATGCTGCTCTTGGAGGACGGCAAAATACGGCAAGCGAAGGGCCCCATCATCGCAGTCGTTTCTGTTTCGACTTTTGCACAGTGTTCAGCCGAAATCTCCGTTCCATCTTTGTTTTTTGATGACGGCACCGCCCTGCGAGGAGAAAATTGCTGAAGAAGAGGCTGACACTTGGCTTGCAAGGCACGAACTGACTATCTGATGGCACTCTCCGACTTTGCAGAGTTCGTCGCTGTAAGGTCAAGAAGCTGCAGGCCGAATGGAAGGTCGAACAGGCAGAGCAGGCAGAGCAGGCTGCCAAGGCCTCGAAGAAGCGGAAGGCCCCAAAAGAGGAAGCACAGAAAGAGGAGGAGAAGCAGGACACCCAGCGGAACGCTCGTGTCGCCGGCCTTTGTTTCGACCCTCTGTCTCGCACTAGAAGGCGTAATGGTTTCCAGCATCCAGAGGTGTGATGATGTGGCAGGTGCTACAGTAAACTGCACAATTACCACGCTCAGCCGTTTCTCAATTTCCTCAATCGGAAAGCTCCTTTTGCGGCAGCAATTTCTCGTTGATTACCGGTGTAAACTTTCTGTACATCAGCTTCCGCACGCCTGTCGTCACTTGTCGCCTTGCGGCACAGGATCAGCCGAAAGAGCCAGAAGTGGAGAAGGCCAAGGACCAGGATTTCGCAGATTTCAAGGCCAGCACACGTTGATGTGGCTAAGAGCAAGCAAGAGGGCAGCTTGGGGGAAGTTTGGGATCCTTTCACCAACTCCTTTCTCATCCCTCCGGCTGGGCAGGCTTATGTAGACATTCCAACGATGGAAGACATCGAGCGGCTCATCGTGAAGAAGAAGAAGGAGACGCTGCTGAAAAAGTATGCCCCCAGCGAGGTTCAATCGAACGACTGACCATCTCACATAGGTTCAAGATATCCGTCCAGTCACCGACCCTACACAAGCAACTCCAGAGTGTTGCGAAAAAACCGTGAGCTGCATGCTTTGCAAACTACTGCGCACTAGGTTGTTGCATATTCTTGCTTGCTGGTTGGCATGCTCTGTTTCACAAGTGCAGCTCGGCGAGATCACATCGGCAGGGAAAATTGGCGAGAGCAGGGATGCAGGGCCACTGCAGGGTGGGCGAGGCCCTGCTGTGGACAACAGCACTCAGACGCTAGGCCCTCTAGGCCCAAGGCAGCTTTCGCTCAGATATCAGTAACGAACATCAACGCAATGATTCTGCGTGTAAGGCCTGCCTTTCACGATGATGTTCGACTACCCATCGTCGCGCACCCAAAGGGCCTAAGGGGTTGTGCTCGGGAAGGGAGCGGGCCGGCCGAGCATTGTTTGCAGGAAGCAGGCATTTGATTATGGTTCCCGGATGTAACAGACAGCTCGTTTTTCAAGATGCGAAGCTGTGTGCACATGTGTGTGTAGTGCTTCCTATAGCAGGTCCTAGTACAAGAAATCTTGACATGCTGTGGTTCTGTAGTTGTCTCAGGGGTGAGGATGGAGAAGACACTACCAAGACTGTGCCGTAAAAGATCAGGCTTTCAAACTGCTGCCGTTGATTCGTCAGCATGCTGCGTGTTTGGCTGTCTTCTGGGGAGCAGCTTGCGGCGGTACCGGTGGGAGAAGTGCGTGACGTGGGGAGCTTGAAACACCATCTGCATGGCATTTGTGGTCTGCCCCGATTCAGACAAAGGCTTCTCGGTGAAGGCAGGAGCTTGGAGGATGAGTTTGAGTTGGAAATTTCGCTTGACTTGCAGCTTGTGCTTCTGCAGTTTGATACATCTCCAGATCAGGCACATCAGCTCGCCCATCAACTCCAGCATGCTGCAAGGCATAATTTTCTATCTCAGGTTGAAGAGCTGCTTTCTCGGCCGCAAGATCCAGATGTCACAGGAACCACGGGTGAATCGGCTCTCTATGTAGCATCCGAAAGGGGCCACCTCGAAGTTGTCAGTTTACTGTTGGAGGCTGGAGCCAGCAAAAACGTGATTTGTGGCCGCTGGACCCGATTGACGCCACTTGGCGTGGCATCCCGTGAAGGCCATACCGAGATCGTGCGGTTGTTGCTGGAGGCCGACGGAACTGCTTCCGACCGCCGAGACCGCGAAGCATCACCTCTCTATTTGGCCTCATTGCGTGGTCATGCTGAGATTGTGAGGCTGTTGCTAGAAGCTGGTGCTGACAAAGATGAGGCCTTTGTTTTCACATACTTTCAGTGCGATCCTGACCAGCTCGTCTGCAGTGAGGTCACATCAATTCAGTCACCCTTGGGCGTGGCATCGCGGGAAGGTCGCACGGAAATTGTGCGCCTTTTACTTGTGGCGGGTGCAGATCGTGACAAGGGCGCGGGACGGCATGACGAAACTCCTCTCTACTTGGCTTCAGAGCACGGTCATGTCGAAATTGTGCGATTGCTCATTGTGGCCGGCGCTGCCAAAGACAGGAGCAGTGGGCCATGGGGCAAAACCCCAATTCGCATTGCTTGCAGCAAAGGCCATGTGCAGATCGTGCGCTTGCTGCTGTGGGCCAGTGTCACGTTGGATGATTGCTCTCATGCAGACGTGTCCGCCAGTGCAGGGGAGGATGAGATCAGGCGTTTGCTCGATGAAGCGAAAGAGACGCACATCAGGTTGAAAGACACTTCACACTCAGGCGCAAAGTTCCGGACATGACCCGTCCTCCAATTCCTCCATTCGACTTCTACATTCGCGGAATAGACACGGTCAGCGCTCGCCGAGACGTGGAAAACGGCTTGTCCAAGATCCGCACGGGTGCTACAGATCTACGCACACTAAAGGCCCCCACTTCAGCATCTGCAAGATTCTGCAAGATTTCGGTGGCGGCATTGGGTTTGTATTTTCCGTTTGTTTTTCAAGCAAGCAAGCAATCCTATATGACTGTATGACTAACTCAGAAACAAAAGCGAACTCCAATCTAAGTGTTCTTTTGTTGTCGTAGTTGGGCCTGCAGAGCATTTCCTAGGCTAAGATTTGGGGCAGCGCAGGCTCCATGATTCTGTTCTGCTAGCTTCTGAGCCATCATCTGTCCGGCGTTCATTTGCGCGAATTCCAACATTAGCCTTCCGACAAAAAGGTTGCTAACCAACAACTGAGGACGCAACAACAACTATTGCTACCAATGCCACTACCACTACTACCACTCCTACAACCGCCACTACTGGACCCATATCCGACATGCGAGGACTCCCAACACAATCTCCCAGACAACATGAAGACTTTCTGTCCCAATGCCATCCACTTTCATGTCATGGTATGAGGGCTTAGGTGTAATTAACCCCCGTGTCCTGTGTCTTGCAGCTGGGACGATTTCAATTTCAGGAATTGCCTATATCAAGATCCAGTCGCAACTTGCTGTCCCCTTCGCTATGGAACATTGCTTTATCCTTCTGTCAGCCTTGTCACGACGACCATGGCGCGAAGGGACCCAGATGGACCCAGGAGTTCCCTCTGGCCGAAATGGAAAAACACAAAACTGAAAATACAACCATCAACAAAAAAAGGGTGCCACGCAAAATTTCAGGATCAGCGCCCTCACGGACTTCTTCGTTGCTCGGACAGTTCCGGAGGCCATCGGAACTTTCATAGATAGCAAGAATTAGCAAGAGCACAGTATGCCTTTGTCATAAATCTTGGACACACGATCTGAACCACCATGTTGGCACAATCTTGCCGAACGTGTGCACAGGCTCCAGAGATCGAGGATGTCCTTGCCGGAGAGGAGGCCAACCGTGCGTGGAGAGTCCTGAGTCAAGGCTGCTGTGACCATGTACCACACATGCGCACAGGTCGCCATAGGCATCAAGTAGCATGAACCAATATTGTGAGCACGCAGGGGGCTGCCATCCGTCGCGGCCTTGAAAGACTTGGTCTGAAGATGCCCTGCTTCCGGGAGAAACAGGGGAAAGCTTAAGCTGGGCGGCTAGAAGCTCTGCTTCCCTCAAGGCCTTCCTCGCCTCGATGGTGAGAAGACCCGACGGCAGGTGTGACTTTCGAGCCGACATGCGCAGAGTCTGTGTGCTTTCAGAACCGCGACTGGTTTTTCGGTGTTCAGGCTTTCAGAGATTAAGCGTGGTTACACCACCTTACACTTCTGACACAGGGACTGTTTCTTTCATCTTGTTGTCCAGGGAGTGTCGCAGGGATGTTAAGTTATTTCATGCTATTGAAGTGGTGGTACTACTGATACTACGAACCAGGAGTAGTGGGATTAACGGCCGCTACACTTAGGAGTGATATTTCTGACGGTACTATTGGCCGCACTCTCAACACTAGTAACCAGTAATTACCTGGATTCGTCCCTGGAGAGTCTCGAGCTGCGGACATGTGGCAACTAACTGGTTAGTATGTCATGTAGCTGCCTCTGGCAACTGGCACGAGAGTCTGAAGGACTGGTGCATGAGCGAGGCATGCCTTCGCGCCTAACTCATACTGTGACAGCGACAGCAGCAGCAACAACAACAAGGATAGCAACGACGGTCCTATGCTTGGATTTATTTAGATACGCAGGGTTTGTGGTTGCAAAAGTCGCCATCCGGCTAAGCCCGAACCCCTCCAAAATATAAACAAAATGCTGGGGCCCGAAATCTTTCTTTGTGTTGAAGGCCTTCTGCTGGAAATCGCTTTGGAATGATGCTTGGTTTTCCAGCCAGGTCAGGAAGATTGTGGAAGACATTGTTGGCATGGACGACTTTGACGACGCACTGCCCTTTCAGATTTCGATCGCTTGCATCGAGTTTGTTAGACTGTATTGTCAAAACACACTTGGCGTCGTTGGTTTTCGAGTATGTTGGACACGAACCCGACTCCCTGCACAGACTTTCCTGCCACATGCAAGCTAAATGGTCATTGAATGCATGGCTCAGATCGGCTCAACCGCTAAGCGGTCGGAGCTGCTAGGAGGTCGGGCAGAGGTCTCGCATAGCGCAACCGGGAGTGTATTTACACATTACCAGAGCAATTCGAGCAGAACAAGGAAGATATGGTAACCCAGCCAGCTGAGCTGGATCATGCCGTATCTCCAAAGACAAGGCGCGACACCCACTGGATCCCACTGGTTTGCGCAGCAGTGGCGGCGCGCAGAAGATTGAACATGTAGAAACCATTGTGTTCCCCAAAAAAAAAGCCAATGCCAAGCGGTCAATGGTGCTTTTGCTGCGATGGCCGTCCGCGAAACCGCTAGCACGAACCTGCCAGAGATTTGGACGTCCGGAGCCTACAGCGGCATGATTCGAGCACCTGCTGTAGAATCTTGCAGAGAAAGTCAGCATCGGAGTCTGAAACTGCTCCAAGGTCTTTGGAGAGCTTCCGCAGTTTGCAAAACCTCGCCCTGGCAGCTCGTTTGCAACGCTCACCTGAGCAGAGCACTTTTCAACTGGACAGCCATCAGACTGAGAAGATGCAGCCGCAGCTAGAAAGAAGACTCGGAGCACCTCTTTGGATCGGATTGAGGCCATCGGTAGGGCCCCCTGCAAAGCTCGAGATGTGCGACCCAGGACCTTCTCGGCCTTTGGCAGGCGGGGACCGGGGAAAACGAAGTGGAACCCATGGTGTCTTGGAGCAGAGGCTTTTGACCTGCCGCTTGCCATGGGGCCATCCATGGGCGAACCCCCTTTGGTGAATAGTTCAGACCTGCGACCTGTGGAACTGAGTTGTTTGTGTGATGGTGCTGTGACCTGCTCCATCCTTTCGAAGTCGGGTTCAACACATCGATATCCACAAGTTCGATCCTGTAGGAAAACTCAGACCCTTCACCCTGTGACCCTGTGAAGGACGTGGGTGCTGGCAAGAAGGAGACGCATGCAGACGCCGAGGCTGACAAGTCGTGCTGTTGTCCTTTGTTTTATTTGCGGTCCTTGCCTTGGCATTTATATTTTGTGATTTTGGCTTGTCTTGGTCTCTCCAGACTCTGGTCCTCTGGTTGTTTGTTGTAGTCTGGTTGGTTGTTTGTAGTCAATGTAGTCTTTCGCTGTCTCCACTCCCTCTCACCTCGCTGGTTCAAACGTTTGACTGTTCACGAAAGCGTCACGAAAAGTCGGGCCAAAGTCAGGTAGGCTATGATGGTGGACAGGTCGATGTAGGCGGTGGTCTTGCCGTTGTTGCCGGCTCGCTGTCGTTGCCCTTGTTGTTGTTGTTGTTGTTGTTGTCGGCGGCGGCAGTGGTGGTGGTGCAGTTTGTTGTTGCTGTTGTTTGGTGTTTGTGGTTTGTTGTTGTTGTAGTTGTTGTTGTTGTTGTTGTTGTTGGTGGTGGTGGTGGTGGTGGTGGTGGTGGCGGTGGCGGTGGTGGTGGTGGTGTTGGTGTTGGTGTTGGGGTCGGCGTTGGCGTTGGCGTTGGCGTTTGCGTCGTTGTTGTTGTTGTTGTTGCTGTTGCTGTTGCTGTTGCTGTTGCTGTTGCTGTTGCTGTTGCTGCTGTTGTTGTTGTCGTCGTCGTCGTCGTCGTTGTTGTTGTTGTTGTCGTTGTCGTTGTCGTTGTCGTTGTCGTTGTCGTTGTCGTTGTCGTTGGTGTTGGTGTTGGTGTTGGTGTTGGTGTTGGTGTTGGTGTTGTTGGTGTTGGTGTTGGTGTTGTTGGTGGTGGTGGTGGTGGTGGTGGTGGTGTTGGTGTTGGTGTTGTTGTGGTTGTTGGTGGTTGTTGATGGTTGTTGGTTGTAGGTTGTGGTTGTGGGTGTGGTTGTTGCTGGTGTTATTAGTGGTGTTGTTGTTGTTGTTGTTGGTGGTGGTGGTGGTGGTGGCGGTGGCGGTGGTGGTGGTGGTGTTGGTGTTGGTGTTGGGGTCGGCGTTGGCGTTGGCGTTGGCGTTGGCGTCGTTGTTGTTGT